ATGTGGCTCGTACGTTGGTTTGCGTGCAGCCAGCAGTAACAGCCTGGTTGATCAGGCTCTGATCCACCAGGAGGCCTGGTCACAGACCGGGCCGCGGGGGCGTTGACCCCCGGAACTCTCTCCAGGTAATACTCCAGGTAATACTCCAGGTAATAGACAGATATGCCATATCGCCATATCAACAGACACGTCATATCGCCACCCCCGTCACGCCGACATTTAGAAGTGACACGTGTCGCTCTCACCCAGGCAAAGGACACGTGTCGCTCTCACCCAGGCAAAGGACACGTGTCGCTCTCACCCAGGCAAAGGACACGTGTCGCTCTCACCCAGGCAAAGGACACGTGTCGCTCTCACCCAGGCAAAGGACACGTGTCGCTCTCACCCAGGCAAAGGACACGTGTCGCTCTCACCCAGGCAAAGCATCAACATTGTTACCACACTACTCACTTCACAACCCGGTGACATCAAATCCGGTGTCTAACACCATCGCCTGCAACTGGATGTTACCTCTAGCCCAATAACAGACCTGGGCTCACACCCGAAGGGATCCAGGTTTGAATAAATGTTAATAAGGTTCGCTGATGGAGATGGTAGCAAGGAAACAGCTCTAGACTACTATAAAGGCGTGTTAATATTATTCGTAGAGGAGCGTCTGCTCCCTGCTATGTCTAGTTGAATCGGAGGGAGACGCCTCTCGGCTTATGTATGAGGTACACACGGCGGTCACCTGACATCAAGCTTGACCAAGAAGCCTGCCTTTAAATATTGCTAAGAATTAAATTTAAAGTATACTACAAAAGTAACACTGCTGACATAAATTACTAGATACCTTTCGTCAGGGATAACATATAAAGGTTCCCGGAATTTTCTTCTTCCTCCGAGCTACTGCATAATTTCTTTCTGCACAGTAACTTGATACCGCCTCTGCTGATCGGCCTCAAACTTTGTGTTGGTATCTTATTTAGAGGAAGATTTGGGTTATGGTGCTGCGTAGGTGCCTATTTGTCAGTTTTATGCATGTAAATCGCTCAGTAGTCTCCGTACAGCTTAAAAATGCCTCTTCTGATCGGCTTCAAACTTTCAAGACAGGTGTATCCTACTTACAAGATTTGGGAAGTTATTTGAGTGTGTACGTTATCTGGAGAATGTAGCTGCCACTTTGCCAGTTTTTTAATAACAAATAATGGGACATTTTACCTTGCGATAACTTAAAATTCCTCTTCTAAAAGGCTTAGATATTTAAAGACTGGTGCATCTTATTGAAAGGAAGATTTATTTAACGTTTATTATGCATAAATACAAATTTACTAAGTCTGTTCTGCAAAATGTGTGGTTCCTTCACAAATTTACCACTTAAAAAAATGGTGATTGCTCGTTTCTCCCATGGAAAACACTTCGTAAGAAGTTGAATGTAGAATTGATGTCTCTGTCTCAAACACTAGAAATAGTACTGGGAGAGAAATAAATACTGAAAATGAAATCTTAAATGTCAGAGAGATCACAGTGGGAGAAAACTACACGTCGTCATAGGTGGTAATCTCTCAGATTACCTTCAGCCTTCTTTTCCTCCTCCAGTGGATCCAAGAAACCGATGAAGAAAATGCCAAAACATACGTGCAGACTGGCAGAAGTTGATGACCCCAGTTACACCAGCATGTGGGACACCTTTTATGCTCACACAACGGAACCAGCAGCAACCTTCAGCTCACACACAATGCAGGTGGTAAAGCCCTATTATAGAAAGGGCTACTGCAGCTATGCTAGCGGGGACAAGCTTTACTAGTGAGAGTGCTCGCCTTTTAGCTCTGAGTAAGCATCACTCGGGTGACTTTCCTCTAATAAGTTCCCATCTCTGAGACTGGCACACGTCCTGACCCCGCAGATCCTTCATATTTACAGTGGCTGTCCGCCTTGCTGCCCCACTGCACACTGAATATAAGTGTATTTGCGGCAGAAGGTAGTCGACGAACACGGTCTGCATGATCTGAACGGTTAAGTTCCAAAAGTTGGCATGTGATGAATATTATGTTATTCATAGGTATAAATCTTTGATAGGGCAGAAGGTGATTTTTCTTTCAAAGGATTGGGAGGTTCTCCCACCCCAAACACCATCCCATCAAATTTACCTTTTGGTCACATATAGCTTGGGACAGAATTTTACAACAGAAAGAGCACATGAGGATCTCCAAACGCAACAATTTTGTCTATCTAGATCGGGACAAAATGATGAAGGAAAGGGAGCAGCTAATTGTACATATATGTGAAAATTCATCGAGAGAAGAGCAGCAGACGAGGATCCAGGTGGAAACATCCTAACTCAGGGAACTCCAACAGATGCAACCTCAACCCGTGTCCGACTAAACCTGAACAAAAGGCCCTAAAATCTGGAACTCTCTGCATGAATATTCCAAAGATTCCCTATCTGCCAACTTCTTCAAAGCTACTGTTTAAAAGCAGCTTCGTACCTTAATGTGATCTTGACAGCAATATACTATGTCAAACAAGTCCTAAATTGCTGATTTTCATCCAATTCTGTCCCCGTTCTTCCAGCTTTCTTTCAACTTCCATATATTAGAATGGCAAGTACCGTCTCATATTTTGTATTGCGATTTCAGGAACTAGTACTAGAGTAAATTTTAAGTATAGCATAGGCTAAGTTTTGACATAGATGCTATGCATTCTTTGGGCCTTCAGTTTTTTGTATGTCCTGTACAATAATGCTGATATTTAGATTAATATCTGCATTTGTATTTGACCAACATTCGTAATAACCTCCACAAACGTTATAGCGAATTGTCTCGCTAAAACTTCCAACAAATTGTTCTTGCCAAAAAAAAAAAAAAAATCCAGTAGTAGATATGTTGATTTTAAGATGCCTGAAATGTTTTGCATAACCATAGCTTTCTATAAAGTACTTCAGTAATATCACCTTTTCCGAATTAACTGCAAACCATTCATGGTAGAAATAAAGTTTATCATTTATTATCATTATCATCATCTATCATGACGTGAAACTAATGAGGAGAATGCAAACAGGAGTAGACCAAGAAAGACTACAAATGGATCTGGACAAGGTGCAGGACTGATCTGACAAGTAGTTACTGGAATTGAGCCCCAGGAAATGCAAAGTTATGAAAATCGGAGAAGGGCAAAGACGTCCAGAAACAGTATACAGATTCTGGGGACAAAGGCTGCAAACCTTCCTGAAGGAGAAAGCTCTCGGGGTAAGCATAGTTCCAAGCATTTCGCCTGAGGCATACGTAAACCGAATAACTGCTTGCAGCAAATGCGAGACTAGGAAATTTAAAAGTAACCTTCAGAAACATCAAGGAGGCATTAACGACCTTATACACGGTATATATCAGACTCAACTTGGAGTATGCAGCACCAGTGTGGCATTCACATCTAGTTAAGCATGGAAAGAAGTTGCAAAAAATACAAAGGTTTGCAACGAAACTAGTCCCAGATTTGAGGGGTATTATCTGTGAGAGGCTAGAGGAGCTAAGCCTAACAAACACTAAAGGACAAAAGGACCAGAGATGATATGATTACGACATTCAAAATACGCGAGGTCACAGCTAAAAGCAAAAAGTTAAAAGCTCAGATGAGTCACAGAGAAGTTAGAGTGGTCAGGAAGTGGAATGATCTAGACAGTGAACTTGTAGAGGTAGAATCCATACAAAACTTTAAGAATAAGTATGATAGGGTTCACACAGCCAATTATCATTATTATAATCATAGGGAGCGCTAAACCCGTAGGATTATACAGCGCCTGTGGGGGAATGGAAGGCATTCAGGCTCAATCCAGGGAACTGGAGCACAGATCCAATTCCCTAGATCAAGAGCCCCTCACCACTGTCAAGGAACCTCCCTTGAGGGGTCTCGCAGTCAAGAAACCAGTATCAGTCAGCAGAGAGGGGCCAGGAGTTGTGAATCGACCCCTGCGGCCACATATAGGTGAGTAAATACATACACAACAGGCGGAGCGTCGATCGATAAATGCCTCTGACAACCGGTAACTAACTAGCACACACAGGATGGCTGAAATTGATATGATTTGGACGAGGCTTCAAAAGTCGACATAAGAAGGCTCAAGAGGTCAGGAATCAGTGATGCCGTTCAGTGGTCTAGGAGCCGCGACAAGGAGCTGTCTCCACCCATGCAAACATAACTTGGTGAGGACACCTCAGTAAGTACAGCTTTGAAAGTACACTTACACACAGGTACCAGCTGTCAAGACCCTGTAAATACACTGAACACGTAAACTGTATAGGTCATTTTTTTTACAACATAAATTTACAGTACTATATATAGATCCTGTTTATCGTCAGCTGGAACAGTGACAATACACTAACTTGAACCAGAGTTCCTGGAAACGAAGCATAGCTAAACTAAACATTCCTTAACGGAGTCGGGAAAGGTTGTGTGAAGGGTGTGACGAACCGGTCTGCAACACCTGTCATCTGCCAGGGTTACATGTGCGACAGGGACGGCAGTGACAGAGACAGAAGAAGCAATCTACTTACTTTGCCTTCTTCACAAACACCTCAACAGTTGTGCAAGGCAGGAACAAAGCAGGCGAGATCATGCACGTGCATGACCCTCACCTTCCTTTCCAGTCTTGCGGTGGAAAGTCCCAGTCACGTGTCCACTTTACATATGTGTATATGAACAAAAATTTTACAATATATCAGAGATATACCGCGAGTATTTTTTGTAAACACGATTATTTCACAAACTAAGGCCTTATTTATCATGGTCAGATAATTTTCTTTATAATTTTCTAATTCAGTTTGCAACCAACTGTAGTATTCATACACTACATTGTATGTTATACACTTTGAAAGTCACACATAAATCTTTGACACCAGAAAAACGAGCAATAAATCTGCAATAGACTAACGCAAGTTCTTCTCTATCTGTTTTAATCACTTATTAATGTTTATTTAAAAGCTACATATCCTCATACAAATAACCGTATACTAACCACAACTTACCCCTCTATATACAAGTCCATGGCACTCATTAACACCAACATGCGGTATAACGCCCGCATACGAGAGGCCCAGAGTTCGAGCCCCGACTCCACATGTTTTAGTCTAGTGGAGACGGAGTTACATATACATCCCACACACCACGACACAAGGAAACGATAGCACACACCCACTCTCAGTGCTGTCCCAGACAACACTGAACCTCGGCTGGCTCAGTTGCCATGTACAGCTGATATAATACTCTTATTATATTATGCTCGTGATGATTATGATTATGATCATCATTTGTTTTTGACACAAAGGTAGACTGATACTATATTAAGAACGTTTTCATTGGAAACCAAGCTATTTCAAGGTTATAGACTTTAAACAGCGTAGTCTCCACGTTTGGTCTCCAAGCTTGGTCTCCAAGCTTGGTCTCCAAGCTTGGCCTCCAAGCGTGGTCTCCAAGCTTGGCCTCCAAGCTTGGTCTCCAAGCTTGGCCTCCAAACTTGGCCTCCAAGCTTGGCCCCTAAGTTTGGCCTCCTAGCTTGGCCTCCAAGCTTGGCCTCCAAGCTTGGCCTCCAAGCTTGGTCTTCAAGCTTGGCCTCCAAGCTTGGCTTCCAAACTTGGCCTCCAAGCTTGGCCTCCAAGCTTGGCTTCCAGGGCGGCTAGCTTTCTATTCCAGCGACTCAGTGCTGCAGTATCCTGGGTACGCGCCGCAGCTGCGAGGAGCTGGATGAGATTTCTACATTGTAATTTTTGACAAACACGTAGCTATATGAATTCGAAATGTATCCCTCAAACCTCGTGTACTGTATATGCCATCTTTGTACCATCAATGTATGAAAATAGGAAAACAAAACTTGTGCGTACAGTGGTATACGTACTTGCAATCACACGTTTTATTGTGATTTTTTTCTCTATATATATGTCGTACCGAATAGGTAAAATTTGCGATTTTGGCTTAAATAGCAACGCTCTTCTTGCCGAATAAGGCAAGCGAAAATTTGTGTATGCCATAATTTCGCAAAAATCATTATGAACCTAACGAAAAAAATATGTTTCACTGTGTTTGTTTAATATTAAATTAATGTAAACTTCTTTAAAATATATTTAGTTGGATAAGGCTAAATTAAATTGCGCTTGTTATAATAAGGTTAGGTAAGTTTTCTAAGGTACTTTTGGTAAAAAATTATTAATTTTACATTAACATAAATGAAAAAAATATATCTTTAAACGTATAAGATAAAATTTTAGAAAGGACTTAATTTTAAATGAGTTCATGCTGACTGACCAATTTTTACCTAATTTGGCATGAATATATATAAAATTAAATATATATATATATATATATATATATATATATATATATATATAAAAATATTTTATAATATATATATATATAATATATATATATATATATAATAATATTATAATAATATAAAAATATATATATATATATATACAGGTAGTAGGGTTGGTAGACAGCAACCACCCAGGAAGTACTACCGTCCTGCCAGATGACTGTGAAACAAAAACCTGTAACTGTTTTGCATGATTGGTGGATTGCTGGTTTCTTTTTCTGTCTCATAAACACGCTAAGATAACAGGGAATATCTTGCTACTCCTACTTACACTTTGGCACACTTCACAGACACGCACATGCATATATATATATAACATACATCTAGGTTTTTTCCTTTTTCTAAAAAGCTCTTTTTCTTTTTTATTTTTCTATTGTCCATGGGGAAGGGGGAAAAGAATCTTTCCTCCGTAAGCCATGCGTGTCGTATAGGCGACTAATGCCGGAGCAATGGGCTAGTAACCCCCTTCTCCTGTAACAATTACTAAAAAAAAGAAAAAAAAAACTTTTTAAAACTGGGTTGCTTAAATGTGCGTGGATGTAGTGCGGATGACAAGAAACAGAAAGATTGCTGATGTTATGAAAAGAAAAGAAGTTGATTTTCCTGGCCTAAGCGAAACAAACTGAAGGGGGGAGGAGAGTTTCAGTGGGGGAAATAAATGGAAATTTAAAACTGGAGTATCTGAGAGAGTTAGAGCAAAGGAGGTTAGCAGTAATGTATAAATGATCATTTTTGGAAGGAGAAAAGAGAATATGAATGTGTAAATTCAAGAATTATGTGGATTAAAGTAAAGGTTGGATGCGAGAAGGGTCATAATAAGCGTGTATGCACCTGGAGAAGAGAGGAATGCAGAGGAAAAGAGAGAGATTTTGGGAGATGTTTAAGTGAATGTATAGGAGCCTTTGAACCAAGTGAGAGAGTAATTGTGGTAGGGGACTTGAATGCTAAAGTAGGAGAAACTTTTAGAGGGGGTGTGGTGGGTAAGTTTGGGGTCCAGGTGTAAATGATAATGGGAGCCCTTTGATTGAACTTTGTATAAAAAGGGGGTTTTTAGTTAAGGTAATACATATTTTAAGAAAAAGAGGATAAATAAGTATACACGATATGATGTAGGGCGAAATGACAGTAGTTTGTTGGATTATGAAATTTGGGTAGATAAAAAAACGTTGAGTAGACTTCAGGATGTACATGTTTATAGAGGGGCCACAGATATATCAAAATCACTTTCTAGTTGTAGCTACACTGAGAGTAAAAGGTAGATGGGATACAAGGAGAATAGAAGCATTCAGGGAAGAGAGAGGTGAAGGTTTATAAACTAAAAGAGAGGCAGTTAGGTAAAAATATAAACAGCTATTGGAGGATAAAATGGGCAAATGAAGCATAGGCAATGGGTCGAAGAGGTATGGGGTAGGTTTAAAAATGTAGTGTTAGAGTGTTCAGCAGAAGTTTTGTGGTTACAGGAAAGTGGGCAGGAGGGAAGAGGAGCGATTGGTGGAATGATGATGTAAAGAGAGTAGTAAGGGGGAAAAGTTAGCATATGAGAAGTTTTACAAAATAGAAGTGATGCAAGGAGGGAAAGAGTTTTAATGGAGAAAAAGAGAGAAGTTAAGAGAGTGGTGAAGCAATTTTAAAAAGAGAGCAAATGAGAGAGTGGGTGAGATTTTTATCAACAAATTTTGGGTTTAAAAAAAAGAAAAAGTTTTGGAGTGAGATTAAAAAGTTAAGAAAGCCAAAAGAACAATGATTGTCAGTTAAAAATAGGAGGGAGAGTTTTTTAAATGGAGAGTTAGAGGTATTTGGGGAAGATGGAAGGAATATTTTTGAGGAATTTTTAAATGTTGATGAAGATAGGAAGCTGTGATTTCGTGTAAGGGCAAGGAGGAATAACATTTTGTGGGAGTGAGGAAGAGCCAGTTGTGAGTGGGGGAGTTCGTGAGGCATAGGTAAATAAAAGGGGGGTAAGGCAGCCGGGATTGATGGGATAAAGATAGAAAATGTTAAAAGCAGGTGGGATTTTAGTTTTTGGAGGGTTGGTGCAATTATTTAATAAATGAAATGGAAGAGGTAAGGTACCTAGGGATTGGCAGAGAGCATCATAGTTCCTTTGTATAAAGGCAAAGGGAATAAAAGAGAGTGCAAAAATTATGGGGGGATAAGTCTTTTGGGAGTGTACCTGGTAAAGTGGTATGGTAGAGTTTTTAATTGAAAAGAATTAAGAGTAAGACGGAGAATGGGAAATAGCAGATGAACAAGGAGGCTTTAGGAAAGGTAGGGGGTGTGTGGACCAGGTGTTTACAGTGAAACCATAAGTGAACAGTATTTAGATAAGGCTAAAGGGGTCTTTGTGGGCATTTATGGATTTGGAAAAAGGCGTATGACAGGGTGGATAGGGGGCAATGTGGCAGATGTTGCAAGTGTATGGTGTAGGAGTAGGTTATTGAAAGCAGTGGGAAAAGGGTTTTTTCGAGGATAGTGAGGCTCAAGTTAGAGTATGTAGGAAAGAGGGAAATTTTTTCCCAGTAAAGTAGGCCTTAGACAAGGATGTGTGATGTCACCGTGGTTTTTTAATATATTTATAGATGGGTTGTAAGAGAAGTAAATGCGAGGGGCTTGGCAAGAGGCGTGGAGTTAAAAGATAAAGATTCACACACAAAGTGGGAGTTGTCACAGCTGCTCTTTTGCTGATGACACTGTGCTCTTGGGAGATTCTGAAGAGAAGTTTGGGAGAATTTTGGGGGATGAATTGGTAGGGTGTGTAAAAGAAAAAATTAAGGGAATACAGGAAAGAGTAAGGTTATGAGGATAACAAAAAGATAGGGGATGAAAGATTGAATATCAGATTGGAGGGAGGGGGTATTTGGGGGAGGTGAACGTATTCCCGATATTTGGGGGGACGTTTTCAGCGGATGGGTCCCAGAAAGATGAGGTGAATCATAGAATTGATGAGGGAAAAAGAGTGAGTGGTCACTTAGGAGTCTGTGGAGACCCAAAAAACTTTGTCCTTGGAGGCAAAGAGGGAAAAGTATGAGAGTATAGTTTTACCAACGCTCTTATATGGGTGTGAAGCGTAGGTGATGAATTTGCGAGGCTGAAAAGCACGGGCCAGTGGAATAGGCAGCGAGCAATTTGTGTAATCATAATTGCAAAATTCATTTGGGAACTTAAGGAGCGAATAAAATATGTTTCCAGAGCTGGTTTTTGGGTGTTAAATTAAATTAATGGACAACTTCTTTAAAAATATATCTTAGTGGAGGAAGGCTTTAAATTATAAAATTTTGGGGGGCTTGTTAGCAATAAGGTTAAGGTATAGTTTTTTTAAAGGTGCTTTGGGTGTGAGCAAAAACATTATGAAGGGTTAAACATTGAGCATAAATGAAAAAATATACTATTTAATGTTGAAGTTAAAAATTTTAGAAAGCCCCCTTTAAGTTTAAATGAGTATGATGCGTGAAATTTTTCTATTAGGCATGCTTTAATGGGTTATATAAAATAAATAATATAATATATATATATATATATATATATATATATATATATATATGGAATACATAGAACCTCGGCTTGGTAACAACATCAATGGTTTCAACTTCTGAGAACTTTGAATGGTGCAAAGTCGGCGGCTACTAAATGCAAGTTTTTGCAAGATCTGTAATTCGAATCAGAGTGAACGTTTAAATAGCAATAATAATCGTACAGAGCACTCTATTGTCAATAAATGAAGATTCGCTAGTACGTTGGAACTGACTGGAGTTACCGAGATTCTCAACCATCCCGTCAACACATCGATCACGATAATGTAACCTCACTGTTCTTCTACGAAATTTTCGTTGCCTTC